AATAAAATAAAAATAATAATTATTACAATGAAGGTAAGAGAGAAGGAGAATGGGTGGCCATCCAGGTGTGATGGGGGTTCTTCATTGTTGGAGGGGAGAGAGAATATTCTGGAGACAGCCTAGCAGATGGTCACTGGGAGGCAGATATCCATACTTGGCATAACAATCTTTTGATGAGACAAGAATTCTCTGTGTGATTTATTTTTTTTCAGGCAGAGCCTTACTCTGTACCCTAGGCTAGAGTGCAGTGGCACAGTCTCGGCTCACTGCAACCTCTGCTTCTTGGTTCAAGCAATTCTTCTTTCTCAGCTTCCTGAGTAGCTGGGACTACAGGTGTGTGCCACCATGCCCGGCTAATTTTTGTATTTTTAGTAGAGACGGGGTTTCACCATATTGGTCAGGCTGGTCTCGATCTCCTGACCTCACATGGTTCACCCACCTCAGCCTCCCAAAGTGCTGGGATTATAGCCACTGTGCTTGGCCCTCTATGTGCATTATTATGTCAGACACATAAGCTAGTCTGAGGAGTTTGGAAATCTATAAAAATCTAAAATTTCCCAACTCACCTAAAGGGCATAGTTTTGTCAGGGAGCAATTTATTTTTTTGAGACAGAGTGTCGCCCTTTTTGTCCAGGCTGCAGTTCAGTGTCATGATCTCGGCTAACTGCAACCTCCACCTCCCAAGTTCAAGTGATTCTCCTACCTCATCCTCCTGAGTAGCTGGGATTACAGACTCATGCCACCATGCCTGGCTGATTTTTGTATTTTTAGTAGAGATGGGTTTCACTATGTTGGCCAGGGCAGGTCTCAAACTCCTGACCTCAGGTGATCCAGCCACCTTGGCTTCCAAAAGTGCTGGGATTACAGGCGTGAGCCACTGTGCCTGGCCTCAGGGAGCAATTTCTGATTGGCAGCTTTGGTTTGCTAAATTATAGACAGTTGACCTTTTATCTCACACCATGCAATTGTGCATGCATTGAATTTTCTTCTCCCTACCAGTAAATGCCATTGCAAGGTCTAGTACAAAATGATACTTTCTCTTGTGTTATAAAGGTAGCATCAAGTAATTTGCTATTTATTTTACATGAAGTAAAAATAATCTATGTTAAAATTACTATTTATTCTGAGAGCATTATACTATTTACTATAATTAAAATAATGATTACTTTAAAAAGTTTAAAATTATTGCATTACTAGAAAAATTCAGATAATATGGACGTGTTTAGAGCTTAGAAGATGAAATTATCTCCCTGTGCTTGCCACAATTTTCACTGTACAGATTTACAGTATTAAAGTTTGACTGTGATAGTTCACAGTGATGTTTTGGAACAACTTGTTGAAACTGATTGAAACTGCTTTCAACTTTCCCAAGCTTCCTACTTTCTTTTTTATTTTATTTTACTTTTATATTTTGAGACGGGGTCTCACTGTCACCCAGGCTGGAGTGCAGTGGCATGATCACGCCTCACTGAAGCCCCGACCTCCTAAGCTCAAGTAGTCCTCTCACCCCAGCCTCCCAAGTAGCTGGGACCACAGGCGCATGCTACCATGCCCAGCTAATTTTTGTATTTTTTGTAGAGGCAGGGTTTCGCCATGTTGTCCAGGCTGGTCTTGAACTCCTGGGCTCAAGCCATCCGCCAGTCTCAACCTCCCAAAGTGCTAAGATTACAGGTGTGAGCCACCGGGGCAAGTTTCCTACTTCATAGTTTGACTTGGTCCATAGCATCTTAAGGTGGCCAATTATCAGACTCCTATTAGATAGAACTGCCGAGTTCTGCCTGAGTGGGAAAAGCTCAAGCCCTTTGAGGAAAATTAAGACCCTAACTTTGAACCATTTGTTCACATTACAGAGTCATGGAGGCAGCCCGTGGCATTGGAAGGCCACCCTAGGGAAGCAGACTGGCTTTGGTTGCAATGGAACTTGAGCTCTGGCACTCTTTAATAGTGTGATCTCAGGCAACTTAACCCTTCCACTTTCTTACTTGTGAAGTGGGGATATTCAAATCCTCACAGGATGATTGTGAAGTGTAATTACACAAGGAAACACAGCTATGCCCTGTTGGAGAAATTCAGTCAAATGGGAGATACAGAGGGCATCTAAACATCATGATGCAAGCGAGGTTAGTGGCACCAGGAGACTGCACAGCACGCAGTTGTGTAATGGGGCAGAGAGCCTGGGAAGTGATTTCCCTGCAGAATCCTGGCAGAGGAATGGGAGTCTGTTGGTCCTGGAAAGGGTGAAAGTACAAGGGCAGAGGTTCAGCGTGTGGAGCAAGTGATGTGTGTAGGGAGCACAACCAGATCCTGAGATGGTGGAACCCACAGGCTAACTTGGCTCTGGGGCAGGAATCCCATGATGACCGGACTTGAGCCGCTCCTCCTCCCAGCCTCCTCCCCTTGGCACTACCCAGGTCCTCTGCCTAGAGGGCCTTTCTCCTTTTGCTCTCCTGGCTATCTCACACCATCCTTTAGGCCTCAGCTGAAGTGTCATTTTCTGGGTAAATCCCCTCCACCTCCACTTAGTCCCTCCATTCTTTAAAATTTTGTTTTAAATTGTAAAAAACACACAACCTAAAATGTACCATCTGTACCATTTCTAGGTGTGCAGTTCAGTGGCATGAAGGATGTGCACATTGTCCTACAGTTGATCTCCTAAACTCTTTTCATCTTGCACAACTGAAACTCTGTACCCATTCAGCTGCTTTCCACCCCCTCTCCCTCCCATATTTGGCAACCACCATTCCACTTTCTATCTCTGAATTTTTTTTTTTTTTTTTTTATGTGGGGTTTCTCACCCAAGCTGGAGTGCAGTAGTACAATGTCAGCCCACTGCAACATCTACCTCTCAGGCTCAAGTGATCCTCCTGCCTCAGCCTTCTGAGTACCGGGGACCACAGGCACGCTACGACACCTGGATAATTTTTTGTTTTTTGGTAGAGATGAGCTTTTGCCATGTTGGCCAGGCTGGTCTCAAACTCCTGACCTCAGGTGATCTGCCTGCCTTGGCCTCCCAAAGTGCTGGGATTGCAGGTGTGAGCCATCGCGCCTGGCCTTTGCCCCCGAATGTGACTGCTCTTGGTACTTCATACAAGTGGAATTGTATGATGTGTGTCTTTTTGTGATTGGCTTATTTCATTTAGCCTGTGTCCTCCAGGTTCATCCCTGTTGCATGTCCTTCCATTCCTATAACACGGTGTCCTTTCCTTTCCTGTCATTTCCACTTTATAATTAGGAAGTGGCCTCAAGAGCTGTGTCCTCCACTGTGTCCTGCTTCTAGGTCAGCCCATGGCGCACAGTAGGAGCTCCTTGAAGAGTGACTGAACCGAATCTCCAGGTCCAACCCCAGCCTATCTTTCCAACCTCATCTCCACCCATCCCCTCTGTACTAGCTTCTTATGGCTGCGGTAATCAATTACTACAAACTTGATATTTAGAACAGCGGCAATTTATTCTCTTACAATTTAGGATGCTGGGAGTCCAAAATCCAGGTGGCAGCAGAGCTGGCTTCCCTGCAGAGGCCCTAGGGGAGAATCCCGCCTTGCTTCTTCCAGCCATAGGGGCTCTCTAGCTGGAGCTGCATCCCTCCCCATCTTCTGTCTTTGTCTTTGAATGGTCTCTGTGTGTGTCTCCTCTCTTTCTCTCACATGGGCACTTGCCGTCAGATTTAGGGTTAGTCCAATCATCCGGGATCATCTTATCTCAGGATTCTTAATTCTATCTCCAAAGACCCTTTTGTCAAATAAAGTCACATTCATAGATTCTGTGGATCAGGACATAGACTTATCTTTATGGCAGCTACAATTCCACCCTCTGCACCCTCCGAGAACCCTGTCCCCCAGCTGATGTGCCTGGTCATGCTCTCTGGACTGTAGGACACACTTTTCACCAGGCTCTGTGGATGTTGCTCCTCCACTCCCCTGGAGGTCCTGCTTTTTTCCCTTGAACACTGAGATCCTCTGCTGTCCGCTTCCCTCTCTGTGGGTGACTGCTCCAGGGGAAAGGGACACCTTTCCTCTTGGAAAGCTGCCTGCTGCTGTGCGGGTGCGGCTCATTCACCCCTTCTAGAGGTTCTGTGGGGTCTCTTGTCTGCACCTCCACATGGTCCTGGAGGCGGAGCTTGTGTTCCTGCTTCCCTCTGTTCCCTATGGTGCCAGTGACATGAGTATAGAGACTCCGAGAATACATGTGGGGGATAATATGGATCCGGAAAGTGGGTTCAGACACATACTAATATTATCAAAGTGAAGGCAAATAGTAAGCCTGCAGTCATAGCCACCCTCAGTTCTAAGAATACGTATGTGTGGATATAGGCAGGGAATTTAAATTTGTTTTTTGTTGTTGGCAGGGAGCAGGTATTAAATCTAATGAGCTTACGTAGCAAGTCAGTTTAAAGAACAACTGACAACCCAGAGGCCTGCAGGGCCTGGAATCAAATGACAGGCTTGCTGTACTGCTCGGAAGGTCAGAGTCAAGGTCCTGACTTCCCCCACTGAGGGCCACGGCATCTCTTAGGTGACCTCTGAGTAATTTAATGTCACAGGAAGGGCCTGGTCCCAGGAGGTTTGACTTTACAGTAGAAGCATCAGGGCTGCTCCTGGTGGTGGGTCTCTCTGGGCATCTTTTCCAGCCCTCTCCATCTTCTGCTGCCCGCCAGCATCCCCTCTGCTCATGGCTCCTGCTCTCCAGCATCTCCAGCTTCCTTCAGTTTGCTAGGGCTCCAGCTGCAGCCTGACTGGCTGGGCAGCCTTGCAGTTTGAGGATCTGTCATCATCCAGCTGCCTTGGACTCGTCAGGATCCAGACTCCTTACTCCTGGTGTGGACTAATGTTCACGTTGCTCCTGCCAGCAGGAGAGGGCAGCGTGGGAGGAGCAGAGACTCACGTGTCAGGGGCTATGGAGTGGGGGGCTCTGTCAGGGGACTCGCGTGGGAGGCCATGAGTGGTGTATCCACTCCAGTTTGGAGGTTCCAAATCACCCAGTGTGGATATCTTATTTTTCAGATTGATCGTGTCCTGTGCTGAAAATGTTTCCGGAACAACAGAAAGAGGTATGTCATCACAAATCCAAAAATAAATAACCCATATGTTTTGACTCACACGGGTTAGTTCTTCATTCACGAACTATAAACCCATGGATTGCTAGAGGAGGGCTCATGAAAGAACAAATGCACCTGCCCCCACTCCCACCATTGGTGCCTCTATGGCCTTCATTTTGGGTTCCAGTGACTCAGCTGTGGAGCACTGTCCCACCCACAGCTGGTGACTCAGCATTCTCCCAGGCTTTGCCTCCTACCCCTTCCTTGGAGCAGTCTCCCTGCAGTCTACCTTCCTGCTCTTCTTTTTTCTTTTTCTTTTCTTCTTTTTGGAGACAGAGTTTCACTCTGTCACCCAGTCTGGAGTGCAATGGCGTGGCCTCGGCTGAGTGCAATGGTGTGGCCTCGGCCCACTGCAGCCTCCGCCTTCTGGGTGTAAGCAGTTCTTCCACCTCAGCCTCCCGTGTAGCTGAGACTATAGGCACGTGCCACCATACCCAGCTAATTTTTTTGTTTTCTTAGTAGAGATGGGGTTTCACCATGTTGGCCAGGCTGGTCTCGAATTCCTGACCTCATGATCCGCCTGCCTCGGCCTCCCAAAGTGCTGGGATTACAGGCATGAGCCACCACACCTGGCATCCCTGAATTCTCCCTCCTTCGGGTAGCAGCCTAGGGGAATTTCTGCCATTAGTTTCAGGTTTGCCGCCTTTGTCACCTGGGCTTGGTTTCATACAACATAGGCAAGGTTTGCCCTTCTGGCTGCAGCCTGGCTTCCCAAGCCTCCATGCCAGCCTCCTGAGCCCCTCTCTGACTGGCAGGAGGATAGGAGAGCCCTCATGCCAGCCCGGCTGAGTGTCCCTCCTTTGGCAGTACCCATTGCCCTGCCTGCTGTGGTGCAGTGCACATCATCACTTGGTGAGGCTGATGAAGTGAGGAAGCAGCATAGGGGCCTGTCTAGGGAGCATGCGTACACACACACACACATGCACATGAGTCACACATTCACACAGTCACATGGTCCCAGCTCACCCTGCCCAAATTGAAAGCACTAAACAATTTATTTCAGAGAATCTTTCCAGAACCTTTGCTAGCTCTCACATCCTTAATTTCAGCCCTATCTTTGGCTTCAGGTTCTCCTCAGCAGTCCTGACCACTTGTATCACTTAACCCTAGGCTGGGCTCCCCCATTTTCAAAGGCAGTGTTTTGGTTTGTTTTTTAGTTTTTAAAAATTGGGCTAGACGGGCATGGTTGTGTGTGTGCCTGTGGTCCCAGGTACTCAGGAGGCTGAGTTGGGAGGATCGCTTGAGCCCAGGAGTCAGGGGTTCTAGTGAGCTAAGATCACACCACCACACTTCAGCCCAGGTGACAGAGCAAGACCCTATCTCAAACCAAAAACAAAAAAACAGAAAAATTGGCTGGGCACGATGGCTCATGCCTGTAATCCTAGCACTTTGAGAGGCCGAGATTGTTGGATTACTTGAGGTCACGAGTTCGAGACCAGCCTGGCCAACATGGGAAAACCCCATCTCTACTAAAAATGCCAAAATTAGCCAGGTGTAGTAGCACATGTCTGTAGTTCCAGCTACTTGGGTGGCTGAAGCACGAGAATCTCTTGGACCTGGGAGGTGGAGGTTGCAGTGAGCTGAGATCACGCTGCTGCACTCCAGCCTGGGTGACAGAGTGAGAATCTGTCTCAGAAGAAAACCCACAAAAAACAAAAAAACTGGGCTATAATATGTACAGTAAAATGCCTAAGGTGTCCTAATCTTATGTATGTAGCTCAATGGATTTGTTTGTTTGTTTGTTTTAATAGAGACAGGGTCTCTCTTTGTTGCCTAGACTGGTCTCGAACTTCTGGCTTCAAGTGATCCTCCTGCCTCAGCCTCCCAAAGAACTGGGATTACATGCATGAGCCACTGAGCATGGCCTAAATGGATTTTTATATACCCGTGTAACCAGCACTCAGATCAAAGTATAGATGTTTCCGGCTCCCCAGAAGGCACCTTGTTCCCCTTTCCAGTCAATCCCCCTCACTTCCACCCTCAGAGGTGACCTTACGCAATACTTAGACCATGCATGCTTTTTCCATCTTGTACTAAGTAATACTGAGACCAAGCTGCTTGCTCTGGGAAATACCCGCCCATGAACTTAATGAAACTGCAAGGCTAAGGGCGTAGTTCCCATAGGACTGCCCTTTGCCTCCAACACCAATTGCAAGTTTGGGGCTTTCCCGAACCACTTTCAAGTTTAATAATTCACAAGAAAAACAGAACTCAGAGCTGTTATCCTCACAGATACTACTTCTTATAGAAAAAGAACGCAAATGAGAACCAGCCAAAGCAAGAGCTGGACACATGGGCAGTTAGGTGGGGTCCAAGGGCGGAGCTTCTGGTCATCCTCCCAAAGGAGTCATGGTGGAGTTACCCTCTCAGCACCCATGTGTGACAGTGTGCAGTCACTTGATATAGCTAGAATGATCTCCTGGCTTCAAATCCATTGCTCTTAGAACAAAGGCAAAACACCTGCACATGGTCTCTAGCACTCTGCAAGATCCAAACCTGCTTCTTTCTCCAAACTTCTCTCTTGCCCCCCACCTGCCACTCAAGTGCACTTCTTATTCCTCATTTCAGAGATAATTTTAGAGTCTTGAATGTTCCATGCATTCTCACCCCCATGCAGTTTTACACATGTTTTTTCCACTGCCTGGAATAATCTCTTCCCCTAGCCTTTACAGTGTATTGACTGGCTAACTTCTCCTTATCCTGGAAGTCAAGAAGCAGCTTTCTAAACCTTTAACTATCAAAGATATATTTATCTAGTCACCTCCCCAGCAGCAGCCTGTCATCAATGCCAGTTAGAAATAGAGAAAGTTTAGGTCAAGCCTTTCAATATCTTAGGGTCTGGTTGTTCAGTGGAAAGTAATTCAGGTTCCACCTAACGGAATATGTTAGCACAAGATGCAGTAGGACTGATTGTTTTGGAATCTAGACTGAGGGTACACTGAGTATTTAGCACTCTCCTCTCAGCACCCACAGCAGACATTACTAATTAATCATGAGGGTGGCATGTGAATTGAGATTTATTTACCATCCTTGTACAAGATTCATACAGCCTGGGAGTAACATCTTGGCTCTATCTAATTGGTAGTATTAACTTTAACATTTAGTATTTTTTTTTAACATTTTGGGGGTGAGGAATCAAATGTAGTCACTCTTGTTAAAACAGCTTTATGACTGTAATAAATCTAGAAAGAGGAGAAAAGGGAGTGAGAATCTCCCTTGTTAGTTAAACATGTTCCATTTGCACATTGGTTTGAATTCCCAGGAGAGCAGTATCCTAGCTGATGGATCTTCTCCATAAAAAGGCCTTGGCATTGGGCCATTGTGAAATTAAAATGAATTCAGATTCATTCATGCGTGCAACTTTAATTTACAATTAAAATATTATGGTTACATATTTTAATAAGAATAATTAGATGGACCCAACTGAATCAACTCTTCTGTTTAATGAGACAGAACCCAGACTTCAAATGGAAAGGCAGGTGGCTGTGACAGGAAGCACGTTTCAGACAGTGTCTTTTGTGGAGCTAGGCATTTTTGTTCTTTTAATATTCGAATGTCCAGACTGAGTTGTTTGATTTTTCTGCCCTACTCAGGATGGTTGCCTCAGCTTCCCGGAAATCATCTTGTGGGGTATATGAGTGAGCATTTGCTCCGGCTGGACACGGTCCATTTCATGGAGTTGGACATTCTCTCTCCCGGGCGCCTGTTATGCTGCTGCTCCCTCTAGAAGGGCACTGTGCTCTTTCCTTGGCCCAGGGCTCACTTAGTATAACTAAACTGTTCCTCTCTGTGTGATGTGACCTGAAGTGCAGGCTGAAACCTTTTTTGGACGTATATGCACATGCGTGCATGTCTCCCCTGCTCTCCTGGATCATGATGGCTGCATTCTCCTTTTAGAGATTTATCCCTTTAGGACAAGTGCTTTTCCCCTTCCAAAATGCACATACTTCATAGTAGGTGTAACAGCAGCTTCTAGGCACTACCGATTGTTGACGCCTTAGCGAAGATACATCCGTCAGTTCTTTGGCAGGGAATATCCTGAGTAGGGCAGGCCGGAGTGGGCCCCAGACAGTTGCACAAACCGTGAGGACGCCACCACTGAGGGAGGAGATGGGGTGCTATGGGGAGAGCAGATAGGGAGGGATATGTTGCTATTTTGGATGAGCAGCCCCTAGGGTTAATATTAATATGTTCAAGATGTGCTTATGCTGACCTGTGGTAATATTTTGGACTTGCTCTACCTAGGAAAGCATGCTTTTGCTATTGGGAAACGGACTGGAAACTGACTGGGCTGGAACTGATGGATATCATTAACAAATAAATAATAATATCTAGGGTCCTGTGATGCTGGGTACTTTGATGGGAAGCAACAAGACAAAACATTTTCCCACTCCCCAAAACCTAAACCTAAATTTGTTTTTCCCCTCTCCCTCCTTTCTTCTTCCTGCCTTTTTCGTCTCCCAGCCTCGCTACATCTTTTCCCAGTCTCTGTTATATTCAGTTATTAAGTGTTCCTATTTGAAAAAATAGTTAAGTTTCCTTAAGAGGCAATTTATAGTCTTCTGTAAGCAAAGAAAAGTAGCTGGGAATATTGTCTTCACACATACACACTAGGTTTCAGAGAATGCTGCTGTCATTCTGAGCACTACAGTTGTGTTACAGTTACTGTGAGGACTTTGATAATTTTTTCTGAGCCTGTCCCAGAGAAAGATCTTCGTTCTTTTTTTGTTTTGTTTTTTACCCTTCTTCCAGATTTTAAAACAATTGTTCACTGCAGAACATTTTGGAAACGTATACAGGAAAAATAAAACTTGGGGATATTTCTTTCTAGTCTTTTTCTATACATATGTATATGTCATTTTTAGAAAACTGAGATCATATAGAATTTATAGTTTAATATCTCATTCTTTCAGCTTACTGTTCTAACACATTTCAAGAAATACTCCACCAGC